TTTTGCATATTCTCTTTCTAAGTGCAGATGGAAAAAATAAACATGATTTATTTTTGTTCAGTTGTATAAGCTCATTTGGTTTTGGCATCTACATGGAATGAGAATTCAGTAACATTTTGTATGTATAAGAATCTCTGATTATTTTCTCAGGTGCTTTGGGGTTTTAAAAAATACCAAATATGTTTTGCAAGCAACAGTATTTCTGATTACAAACCCATATGTAAGTCACAGACAGTTAATCCACACATTTTCAAGGACTAAATTGTTACTTGTAAGTCCTTTTCTAGTTTTTTTTTTATTGGTTAATGGTAGGGAAGAGAAATGTAACAATGATTACTAAACAGAAAATAGCATTATTTTGATTATTTGAGTTTTATTGTGTCTTTTTTTAAACTATTGTTATTTGCTCTATTCACTACAATTTTTTTCCAGAAAGTTTAAGTTTATACTTTTCTGCCAAAATTTCTGAGTTAGAAGACTATACCTGAAATGGTTCCTGCCATTTTATTTCAGTTTGAAATTAAACAGTTTTCAAAACTTATCTACCAAAGATAAGGAAAGCTCTTATTAGAAGACTTAACTATTAGTGATCACAAAATATAATTAAATTATTTGTGTTGTACTTTTCTCCTGGGTTAAGATTTTTTAAGGTCATGCCTACCTAACAACTTTTATCTTTTAAAGCATTCTTCACAGAAGGTATAATAGTCACTTTGGTTCTGAGGTTCTCTTTTTATTAAACGTATTGTCTAAAAATTATCTGTAAGCATTCTCTAGCCTCTTACAGTGCTTAAAAGCTGTCTGCCTCTCAAGGGCTGATCTCTGCAACAAGTACTAACGTTTTGGGCTCATGGATGATGGGACCAGAATTTGTCAGATTCTAAGTAGATGTCAGTAATTTTGCTGTGTCTTTGACTATCTATGCACATAGAAAAACAAAGTTTCGGGATAGACAAATCTATTGAAAATTTGGGAGGATAGTCAAAGATCTACTTGGTTATTTCATAGATTTATTATTGTCAGATGGGGGCAAGGAGGTGATAGTTGGAAAGGGGTAGGGGAGTTTGAGTCGTAGCAAGGACTCCCACTCTCACAGAAATTTTTTTTTCCCCTTCACATAAATGCAACCTTGTCAAATCAAGGTGGAGTTTCATGGTTGTTTAATGAAATCGCTTATTAGCAGATCGGCATTGCACCTCCCGCCACCTCATACTTTTCTATTAGCAAAATGAATGCCTGGAATATTTCCTGTTTACAGAATTTCTGCCAACAGGGTACCAGGTTGGATTCCCCCCGTGAGAGGCATGTGTGTGTCACACAGAAGGCAGAAGAGAAGCCATATCATTGCTTCACCGCCAGCAGAAGGTTTATGTGAGGGCACCAGCTGACAACAGGTATTTCAGCTCTGTGAGGGTCCAGGGATTCCACAAGGTCAAAACTATTTTCATAACCATAGTGAGACTTTACTAGCCTTTTCATATGCTCTTTGTCTCATGACCACTCAGTGGAATTTTCTAGAAGCTACATGACCTGTGATGACCCTACCGATCTGGTGGCAAAGAGAATGTGTGCTTGTGTAGTCTCATGGATTAATTTTTTGTTTTGATTTATCATATAATAAATATCAATACATATAAGAACTTTTATATAAAAGTTCTCCCAGATGTTCAAAAATTTTTAAGGTTGTATATTGGTCATGAGATCAAAAATGTTTGAGACAGGCTGTACTAGGCTGTATTCTGAAAATCACCCATCTAATGCTTCAGGTAACTGCAATTATCAGTGTCGACTTTCAAGGGTTCTGACAATTTCTCCAATCTTTGAAAGCTATTGGCCAATCTAAGGACTGGCATCATCCTGTGACTTAATTCATCCTATCCCTTCAGGTTTTGTAAGTTCCTAATGTATTACACCATTTCATCCTTGAAATGTAAAAAGTGGTTTTGTTTTCTTAACTAAATAATGCATAGAATTGAATAGGTAGGTGTTCAATACAGGATACTACGAATTTGCTTCCGATGAATCTTTAAAATATTTAAAATATCTAGAAAATATCTTCCAACCTCCACTAAAAATTAGAAAAAAAACTACCCTCAAATCATTTGCTTTGGGTTGATAACTAACTCTCAAAATTCGATGCTTTAAAACAATTATTCTATATACAACATGCCATGTCCTTCAGAGAAAGCTCAAAATTAAGCAAGAGAGCTTTACATGATAGTTCGTATTTAAATGGATATTAATACTGTACCACAGTGTGTTCTAACACAAAAGTTGTGCTCCAAGAAGTGCCAAGTAATTCATTAAAGCAAACACTTGATTAAAGACAATATTTTAAACTGCAGAAGAGGACTAGAAGCTAGAAAGTTTCTAGCTTGCCATAACAAATTAAGTTTTCCCTGTGCATACTTATATAATCCTTTAAGCTTTAAAAAAATAACTATAAACCCTAAATTTCACTCACAAACCCATCATCTACTTGCATTTAGTGTTTATATAAGAAAGGGCTTTTCTCTACCAATTGTGGCTGGCACCAGAACCTGCAGGTGCTTTGATGTCCTTACCATGCTGTGGTAAACCAAATTCAAAAGATGCCCGAGTTGTAGAAACAGCAGCTGTTTTTCTTATGTGCTTCATCTTGGATCACAACATTACCATCGAGAAGGGTCTGCACAATGCAGAACTTGATACCTAACATAGAATGTTGGGAAACAAAGTAGCCTAGCTTTACATAAGAGAAATCTGTTATTTGTGGTCACTAATTCAGTTATATTAAACTGCTTGCTGTTCCTAAAACAAATCTTGCTGCCTTCTGCTCTTGGGAACATGCTAGTCCCCTTGCATAAAACAGTCTGTCTTGATCATGTTGTATATCTATCTGCAGCCTTGGCACGTGCCTCTTACCTAACAGGCTCTCGGATATCTATGTATGTATGTATATTTTAATAAATAGCATTATTAGAACAGTTAGGCTTATAAGTTTAAAAAATAACAACATGAAGTCCAAAAGGAATAAAGGCTTGGGCAGTAATCAAAAGTGGCTGGTAATGGTTATCGATCTTTAATCTCAATATTGTTACATATATATTTTACTG